AGTCACTCAGAAGGCTTTAGTGTTTACCCAATAACATGCTACAAAGATGTTAAGGTTACTGACATTCCTAAATTGTTTGTTTGGGTTTTTTTTGTTGTTGTTTTGTTTTTTTAACTTTGCTTTATTCCCTCACTATCTCTGATCTGTCTTTTTGCTCCTGGACTTATTTCCCCTGAGGGCAGTCTGACCTTTCCTTTTTTTCCCCTAAACAGATGGAAGCAGGTTATACACCAGTCCCATTCTGCTGTGGCTTTTTGGGATGTCCAGGCATACTAAGGCATCTGGCATCGCAGGCATCTGTTTTGCCCTTGTATTAAGCTAGAAACCCGGAGAACCATTCTCGGATGGCAGACCAGAGCTGCACAGCTTTGCACAAGGAAGATTTTAATCCCTATGAAACATGAAGAAAAGCACTTAGCATTGCTTAGTGCAAACGTTTATACACATAGAGGATGCACAAACTGCCCGTGTCAGCAGGATTAGCATGCTGACAATGCCTGCTTGATCTTTTTTCTTTCACGGCCACAAGGACCATGTGCTACCCGGCTTTTTACTATCATTTGGTGCCTAAGGCACACCTTACTTCAGCCAGAGCGCAGGGACAGAAAGAGAAAAAGTCGTGTTCCCCTATGCTGCCTCCCTGCGGGGGTGAGGAGAGTTTATCCCTGGACTTTCTCAGCTCAGACTCTCCTCAAATAACCAGCAGTGAGCTCTCCTCTGCTAAAATGAAGAGTAATCCCCACCAATGCAATTCAGATTACGTTTCCATGTAACTCCTAGCCCTGGCTGGGTATGGTTTGGTGTCAGATAGGCGGAAAGCCCTTTGCTGCTATTTGAATCATTCCCCAACATGGATAACTTCAAGAACATCTCATTCTATACAGAAAGAAGGAATCACAGCGTGAGTGGATTTAAAACTTACTCTGAGGATACCTGAGCACTGGGATGGTCTAGAGACAGAAACTGTACCTTCTAGAATTGAGTTTCCTTCTGTCTGCATGGAAACTGTACTCTGGCACAAAACAAGTGTGTATCAGAGGTCAGACAATTCCCCAGCTACAGCACCTTCACCAAGCAGAGCTTTGCTATGAGAAAAGATTGCGATAAGAGGTTGCTGGTTTACCTCCTATGAGCATTTCTTGCTAGGTCTGCTCACAGCTTCCTTCTTGCACTCCAGCAAGCCGTAGATCCTTTGATCATTCTCAAAATGAGAAAAAGTGCTGCTGATGCTGCTGCTGTCTTTCTCCCCCTCTCTTGCCAGGGCACCTACAACTGTCAGACTGACAGAAACCACAGAACACAGGCAATGTCCCTGATGTGATGAAACATCAGGCAATGCAGGGAGGAAACAGGAATTCCACTCATAGAACCGTAAGCTGAGAAAAGGGAAGACACAGGTGTAGTAGTGGTGTGTTTTACGGTCCAAAGCAGCACAATACTGTCGTGGCTTTCTGTGACATAAAGAAAAAAAGCCACGCACCATCTGAAATCTCACCAGTACAGTACTCTGGAAAGTTATCCAGGCACAAGGTGGTATTGGTCAAACTGAACACTTTAGGAGGGATCCCACCAAGAAACAGAGGAGGTGCATGGCAGCACAAGCATGAGGCTCACCCAGGTCTGGAGAGCAGCATGAATGAGGATGTGAAGACGTGGGATGCTATAGATCGCAGTGACAGCAATAGCACAGCACCCAGTGATGCCCGGAGGCTAAACCGAGCTGTTTGAGGATACAAAAGAAACTCGCTTCCTGCTCCTCATTGGCTGCTGCAGTTTTTTTTCAGCCCCGGCAGGGCAGGGTCTGCTGGTATATCTAGGGGCAGCTCTCCTGCTCCTGAACCAGCAGAGACAAAGACAAGGACTGGTGCTCTGTCAGGACTGGAGAATGGCTCTGAAGATGTTCCTGGTCTTCACTGTGTTTCTGCTGCACGCTGCCCTGGGTTTCCCTGTTCCGGTGAGAGCAGTTCCATGCGACCACGCTCGGTCTTCTAATTGACCTGTTCTTCCTGGAGTGAGGCTGTGGAGACCCATTTTTGATAAATTTCCCACAAAGAAAAAATATTTGTAATATAATAGTCTATGAAGCCAATCTAATAATTTATAATAATAGTTTCTCCCTTTGGCCTGATTTTGATGCTGTTACTGCTGCATTTATGAGCTATGGAAAAATAATGCCTTTGACTTATTGGTTTTGCAGGAGAACTACGAGAACAGCACAACAAGTAAGTAGGATTTATCCCGTATTTTAAAGACGACTGTTAATTCTTGACTGTGTGTCATACACTTTTTTGGTGTGTGAGTGACTTTTGACTTTAGAGCACTTGTGGATAAGGCCATGTTTCCTAATTTGTTGTTGGGCTGGGTGCAAATGCATTTTCATACAGAGTGTGCTCTACACGTATTTTTGGGGTATGGTTTGTTAGGTTAATTTATATGTGCTCTTACAGGCTTGAAAATTATATTCTAATATGACATTTTTATACCTTTCCATTGAGTGTTACAAAAAAGACTGCTACTCATTTGCCTCTTTGCCTACCTTGGTGCAGCAGTAAGAGAAAATGATGTCAGGCGACAGAGAAAACTTTTGCTTTGTGCTGGGGTAGAAAACAAATAGTACGGGCTTAGCTGAACAGCTTTTGTCAACTCCCAAAATAGGGGGAGGTTGTTGCAGATCTCCAGAGAAGGTGAATTGAAATATATCTGTAGGTAGCCTTTAACTACAGCAGGAAACTGCCACGTCAGGGGTGATGTGTTGTGAGAACGCCTTGGAAAAATTTGTTTGACGTAGTCAGAGCTAGTAAGCGGCTAATGAAAACTGATCAGTTCTTCTCTTGAGCTGTCCTTTATAGCATGGAAACAAAGGGATGTTTTAAAATTGCTGCTCAGTATATTTGGAGCTGGCTGAGGTACACGCTTTCTGGAGTTCAAAGCAGTCAGTTGTTGAGACTCAGAGTTGAAGGGCTACTGGGACAAACACACACAATGGGTTTTAATTTACCATTCTTACTGGGTTTTGTGCCTTTTGAGACATCGTTCAGTATTTACAGTGCAGGTAAAAAGTGAACTGCATAATTTTGAAAGTTATATCACACCAGATGTTCATCTGATCAAGGGCATGGCAGGTGCCTTCTGTGATGTCTCATTTGGGTTTTAAAAAGGTGTTAGCAGGCTCATTTCCACTGACTTTAGTCAATTAATTTAGTGCCTCTTGGGTGCATGAATTATGGATCTGGTCCACCCATTTCAAAAATGTGCTTTCCTGCTGCATTTTTTTTGATGCCATGGATCTTTCTGATGCAGCTGTCTGAACTTTTCTATAATAAACCACCATCATTACAGTGGACTTTCAATGCCTTGTAACTGAAGTAGCAGTCTGGAAAAACAGACTGAACCCTTTTTGGTTCAATAAAAGCAATTCTGTTACAGGTTCTAGATAGATTCTGAACAGGAGGAAGTCTCTTTGGTATGTTTGGGCAATAACCACTGTGAAAAGGGAAAGGCGCTGCAAGCTGTGACAGAGCTTGGCACATCTTCTATTGAAAAAAACCACAGTCAAAAATATAAGGAATATGGACTGGCTTAGAAATAAGAACTATTTGCATATGTGTTCTCTGTGTCAATGTTGAATAGGAAAAAAAAAATAATGCTTTTTAATTTTGACAAGGAAGAGGGCAATTATTGGCAAACTGGAAGAGATTGCCAGAAAGGCTTGCGGCATATCCATCATACTTAAGAACAGGTCAAACAAACTGTGGTCATGAATAACAGAGATAAAGCTGTTTCTGCCTTAGGGAACGCAGACAAACCGGATGACCTCTGGAGGTCCTTACAATTTCTAAACTTTTATATTATAACAGTGAAGTTTCTGCTCATAAATCTATAGATAAGATCAGACTTTCATTTCCAGTTTTGTATCTAGAAATTGATATTTGATAGAAATGAAAAAGATGTCGCACTAGAAAGATGCCTTAGGATATTTGCCCCATGCTAGATTATAGCCTTCATCCCATTTTATAACTTTACTCTTTGACACTGTGAAACTAGAGAGGATTGTTGAGCTGGTTAGCCTGCACCTGTTGCAGTGAAATCTGGGGCCAAAGCATATTTTTGTCCCTAGTTTCCTTTGTCAATTTCCACGCTGAAGCTGATAAAAAGCTTTGCTGATTCTTAGATAGTAAATGACCAGGATTCTGTCCCTCGGCGTGATCTACCAGGAATTTTCATAGCTGTTTGTCTAAACGTGACTGTGATTTCTGTGCCTATGCATCTGTTAGCACGCCCCATTCCCCTCCAAAGCAAGGGACCTGCCAAAGGCATTCCCATGGCTGAGGAGGCCTGTGCTATTGAACATTGAGAAGTTGCATTCAAAACCTAATTTGTCCCTTTCGCTTGTCTTTTTTCTTCCTTTTTGCAGCAACAGAACCTACTGAGGTAAGGACAACTACATTGGCTCTTTTGATCATTTTGGGGTCCAGTATTGTGGAAAGTGAGCTCAAGACTTCTGTACTCCACCCGTATCTCCATCCGATTGCATTTCCTGAGTCTCCTACGCTCATTCCCTTTATGATATCTGTACTTGCCAAGATATCAAAGAAAAATACCTACCACGCCATGGTACTTCTTTACATGTGGCCCAATATATAAAAGCTCAAGACTGGAATTTATTTGCAATGGTAGCCTGGACACTTTTGATTCTTTGCATATTATATTATTTAACATTATATTATTTAATATTTATATTGTATTATAAAGTGTAAGATAATACAAATGCATTATTCTTGCAGGTTACTACACAAGAGGATATATATGGTATGTATAATTCCATCTAATTGTAAGTATTTGATAAGATACACTGATTGTTGTCTACCCAGTTACTCCAGAAAAGAACACATGCTTAACACAAATTAATCTCGAGGAAGAAATTTTAAATTAATGTATTCACCATAATATTTCATGCAAAGCAGAGTCTCAGGTTCTTGGCCAATTGCTTGGGCTTGCTAAAAGCTCCACTGTTACTTCTGCTAAAAATAGCTCTGCTTAAATAATCTCCTGATTTAAGTCTCTTCCAAAGGTTGCAGAAAGCTATTGATGTTAAGACTTACTGCATGATGCTCAGACCTGGCTGATTCTGCCTACTTGTAATTCCTGGGAGTGCCTAGTGCTGGGCCCAGCTGGGGACATGAGTCCAACCCATGGAATAGGAACACAGTTCCAATTCCATTGGTTTTGAGAGTTTTTCACTTGAGCAGGACCATACAGACTTTCCTGGCCTTAAAATGAGATGTCTAGGAAAATAAAAAAAAAAAGGGGGGGGGAAGGGGGAGAGAAACATTGAAAGAGAATGGCTCTTGGGACTGGATTAATGCCAAATGTAATTGGGATCTGGCCTGAGCTCCTGGAAACTCATCAGGTTAAAAAATATTCATTTTTCTCTGGTGTTTCTGCTCAGATTCTCCATTGCCTACAGAGACCGACGCCGAGGATGAAGTTATTTTTGACAGAATTCTGGAAATCAACAAAGGTAATGCCACCAAGCCCTGCTTATAATGGGTCTGCCTTTGTTGATTTTTTGGGGGGCGATGGAGGAGGTACAATGTCTTACCACAGTTTGTGCAGATATTTTTCCTGTCTTATCTTCCTGTTCCTTGACTCTTCCAAACCTTCCCCTTTCTATGAGCTTGTCTTTCTCACATTTTTCCCTTCAGCAATCATTCAAGAAGATTTACTACTCTCTGTAGAAATGGACACCAAACATTCCTACAGTTGTCTCTACACAATACTCACTTTTCAGTTTGCTTGCCCTCTTGGGTTTACTTATTGGCACCTCCTGCCTTGCCCAGCACCCTTCCTGAGCAGATATCTGATGGCATTCATTCAGTGTCACATGATGGGTAAAGAAATAGTACCAAAGGACACTATGCCATAGAACTACAACTGCTTTCAGTCATTCCCTGTCTTGTCTCAACCCCATCCAACAGAGTTGGAGCTTCCCACCTCTCCTCTTAGCGAAGGACCCAGCAGCAAAGGTAGGGAAGCAGATAATGTCCACTTAGCCCAATAGTCCATTTTTCATGCCAGCCAGAAGAAGATGGGAAAAGTAAAAAAGGAGGATGAGTAGAGAGTGACACTTTTCCAAATGTGCTTAGTCAGTGTCCAGCAAACTGTGGCTCAGATTTTTCTACCCTTTCTTTCTCACCATAGACAGCTCTCAGTTCTTGCAAGAAGGTGACATAGTTCCCCAAAGGACTCGCAGTGCCATCAACTGTCGCCGTTGCAACTGGCCCCAGTCCAGTGATGGGATTGTTCGTGTTCCCTATGTCTTGGATCCTGCTTATGGTGGGTGTAAATTTCCATAATTTTTTTTAATGGATTTTATCCAATAAGTTGCAGATAAAAACCTATGTCTAGTGGCTACACAAACAGATAATTAAATCAATTCTAAGGATTCACTTGTACTGTGTAAGCACAGATGAACTGTAAATTACAAAGACGTGAACAGGAAAAAGAAAAGAGATCAAATTTCCTTGAAGTTTGTATCCATAATGTTTTGGGTCTGGTCTCTTGGAGACAAGAATTCACGCTAATGGTACCTGCCAGAACACCTGCCTTTATAAGGTTCATACCTATTGCAGTGTGGTTTCAATCGCTTGCTTTTCATTAGCAAAATAGCTTCCCATAGCTGTCTCCAAGTGTACAGTCAGAACATACATCAACAATCACCACTACAATTTCAAACAAGTAGTTGAGGAAAAAAAGGCTGCCACCTGAATCCATTTGTATAAATATCTTCTGCCAGGCCACCAATATCTTAAATTAAATTAATTTTGAGCAAAAGGCAAAAAAGAGCCTAGGCTAACATTTCTGTCCCTCGTTTATCCTGTTTTTGAGCACACATGAGATTTTAATAGCACCTGCCATTGTTTTTGTTTGACCCCCAAAATTAACCATTTCTTCTCCAGACGACGGCCAGATAAAAGGGATTCATGATGCCATGGCAGAATTTGAATCACTGACTTGTATTAACTTCGTGGCGCGCACGACAGAACGTGACTACCTCAACATTAAATCTGGCGATGGGTGAGTTGAATGAGAAATTAACTAGTTATTTCTACATTGTTTTTTCAATTCTTCACTGTATTCCTTCTGTATGACCTTAGAGAGGAAAGAGGAATGAATTTAGAGCAGAAACTTTGTTTTATCACAGTGCCAAGGTATCCTCCTCAGATCCCTTGCTAGTGCAAGGACTCAGCGGTTACATCAGGGACTCACTAAAGACACCGAAGTGAAGCAGATCATGGGAAAGCAGCATTAAGGTGGAAAGAATATCTAGGCTCATGTTTTCTGTGTGGTATAATGCATACTTGAGCACTACACACAACAGATTACTGTAGGTCTTATTTGCACAGGCAAAACCAATTTCAATTTTTGACAAGGTCAGGATTTGAGCCTATGAGAGAATTGTTCAACACCCATTAGCTTGGAAGTGCTATTCGTCTTAGATCCAGCTCTGATACAGGGTTCAGTACTTTGGAAAAAAACTTCTTATTTCTAGGGAGTTAAAGTCACTGTGTACAGAAAGTCAGAAGGCAGGAACCTCCTTGCTTAATGAAAGTCTTCCTGGAAGCTTTAATAATGACCATACTTGGTTCTGTGCCCAGGTCGGTTTTGCCCTTCTGTAGACTCTGACTATCACAGTGGTCAGGAAGGAATCCTTCCTCTCCCACAAGATGTGTATGAAGTGAGGTTCTCTGTACTGTCCCTTTGCCTGCCTGACAATAAAAATCCCATCAGTCTTCTGTTGGTGTTCAATGCCTCCCTTAGCTGCTGGTCCCACTATGGGAAAGTTGGAGGTGGACAGACTGTCTCTGTGATGAAAGGAGGCTGCATGGCGAAAGGAATAATTCAACACGAACTGGACCACGCTCTGGGCTTCTTGCATGAACATTCTCGCAGTGACAGGGATAACCATGTAAAGATCATGTGGGAGTACATCAGCCCAGGTAAGTACCTTTGAACTCCTCAATGTAGAAAGTGGTGTAGATGCATCCTACTGTTCCCAGCTCTTCCTTCTTCCCTGAAGGGTGTAGATAGGAAGCATACTCTAAGTACAATGTTATATATTACAGCCGACAGATCAGACTTCAGGAAATTTGAAAACTCCAATAACCTGGGTCTTCCATATGACTACTCTTCAGTAATGCACTATGGCCCGTAAGTACCAGCATGGCATTGCTTTTGTTGGAACTCAGATAATTTTTGTAATAACTCTCTCCTAACTACCAGTTTCCCCCTTTTCCCCTCTGAGAAAAACACCGTGAGTCAGTTCAAACAAGCCACTCCCGTTAAGGAGACATTCACAGCTGAGCTTGAAGGCAAAGGAGGGCATCTTGAGATTGACTCTGCTTACTGCTGGACATCTTTATCAAACCTATTTGAACAGTGCTGTTAGTCACACAACAGCTTGCATACAATTCTTGATCTCCCTCCAAATCATGCCATTAAATCCTGAAAGAAGTAAAGAAGTAATTGTACTTGGAGAACACACTTTTTTTTTTTTTTTTTTTTTTTTTTGCAGATACACATTCTCGAATACCAGTGGGCAAGCAACTATTGTACCAATTCCTGATGGATCAGTACATATCGGACAGAGGCAGGGACTGAGCAACTTGGATGTGGCCAAAATCAACAAACTTTACAATTGCAGTAAGTATCTCAAAGTCATCCTTTCACCTTCTACTTAGATCCTTCACAGAGACATTTGGGCAGTTTCTCATCAAAGTCTGTGCAACTATTCTCCTGAACTCATGGTACCTGTTAGGGTTACTCTGGGAGAGAATGCAAAGATGAAGCTGGAGGCACATTGTGATAAGTGAGAAAATGCTTTCTGCTTCCAAATTAAATCAAACACATTCACTATTGGCATAAGTGGCTGCTGTGCAACTGGCCTAAGTGTGTACCACGTTATGTGCTTCACTGGAGTAAATTTGGTTTCTCACAGCTCAAGAGCCAGACATCTCTGTTCCTCGAGACCTGAGTCAAACCAAAACAGTTGTAGGCTCCTCTGAACTGGAACACTTTCATGATTCCTTGTCCAGTTTTCAAGTGTTCAAGCTGTCATTCTGAATCTGTATGTATTTTTAACTCTCTAATTTTAACTTCTGCTAGAAGAAATTCTCCCATACAATCAGATATTTATTCAAAGGGGAAAAAACATGATGAATAAAGTATTACCCCTTGCACAGAGGAAAGCCCAAGTCCTCCACCTAATCTTAGAATTTAAGCATTGCAGAGACATCGTATTTGCATTTGGCTCTTCTAGCATCACTTGACTTCCCCATCTCAGTGGAAAATGATGTCACCAATTGCAGTGAATGGAACCTCTCACACTCTTTAGAGAGGTGCAGAAAGAGATCCCTTGATAAGCTCTGGAGTTAATCAATAAAAGCTAATACTTTTTTCCATGCACCACTTTACTTTCCATTTTCATGCAGCTGCGTAGGCATTATTGTGAAAATAAAGACAACATGATTCTTCATTTTAATCAAGAAGTACCAGCACCCTGCAATGAATGCTGGCAGATCAGAAAATTGAGACCAGTCCATTCTGAACAGATTGCAATTGTAAATGAATGCAAGCTTCTGCAAGCCTGGTGCTGAAGCAAATGTTTTTTTCTCAGGTCGCTGCAGCACTGTTCTCGAGGGACCATCTGGGTCACTGAGCTCTGCCAACTACCCAAGAAATTACTCAGATAACACCAACTGCGTCTGGCTCATCCGAACCCGAGCCAGAAAGGTAATCACAGGTTAATAGTGGTCTCGGAATATGTCTGAACTTCTTTTTCTGCATTAATCATTTTGCGCATTGTCTGCATACCAGTTGCCAGCTAAGGTCTTTGCCCCAAGAGAGATTTCAGATTAGTCTATACTTCTTCTTCATGTCCTTAAGACAGGTATGGGCAAAGACAACTGCAGAGCTGTGATTTTGAAAAACCTCCATACTTCTTCAGGTTTGCAAAATCAAGACAAAGCAGTCTGAGCATGGGAGCATTCAGTCACAGGCCCATTAGATCTGAACCCTGCAACTTCAGGGGATGAGAGGCAAGGCTGGGGATGCAGTTCCAGTTTGGGCTTGGCTACAGCTTAGATTCTGTCTGTTTTAAAGGACATTCCGTGAAAGAAGTCACATTAAAGGCTGTTTTTCTCTTCCCTTCCAGATTACCTTGCACTTTGAAGCCTTTGAGCTGCAGACTACCAGAGGCTGTGAGAGTGATTACGTTAAAGTTTATGATGGACCCAGCAAGTCTTCTCCTGTTCTGATGGACAAGACCTGTGGATCAAACATACCCAATGATGTCGTTGGTTCTAGTAATCTTATGCTTATAGAGTTCGTCACAGATGGTGCTGATACAGCTTCTGGTTTCCAAGCCACCTATACTTCTGGTAAGTCTGGGCATGAGGAGAATGGCAAGGAAAAACAATTGGTGTCAAATCAACAGGTGTTCTACCTTCCTCTTCACATGACAGTTGGAAAAATATAGGTTGAGGAACTGATCTGTGCAAGAGCCACCAATTCCTACCTTGCTTTTGATATAATGGCTCAGTCCTACACTGATACTATTTATTCGTTTGGGCAGATGGGGCCACACTCGGGACAAGTCGAGTTAGCTGGGCGATTCACTGTTTGCCTTGCCTCTTGGATATATGCCATTCCAAACCACGCACCATTAAGGGTGTGATCAATTTAGTGTTACTGCTAGTGTTACTGGCACAGTTAAATGAGAGTAAATCATAATGTAATATTTAAATATATCAGTCCTTTGGAAAAGATGCAGTTTTTAATTACACAGCACAGAGGGCGAGACAGATCTAATGGTGAACCAGGTCACCCAGCCCCTTCACAAGAAGAAAGGCAGTATTTCCATGGTCAGGATCCCTGGAATGTATCCATCTAAGACACATTTTCTTCAGTCCCATTTAATTAATAACTAAGGCCACGACTATACAATTCAGTTACCACAGGCTTCCAAGTTAGCATGTATCAGCTGGAATAAAGAAATGCCTGTGTGCATGTCTGTAGCCTACAGCAACTCTACGGTAGTGCAGCTTGCCTGAGTATGAAAGAACGCTCAGCTATGTCATATGACCTTGTATTTGCCGTGGAATAAGAACAAGCACACAGAGTTTGCATAAATTCACTGAAATGCAATAACTTGACTGTATACCCAAAACAAAACAGCAGTTTTGCATTGTCTCTATGTAGCATCTATTTCTGTCTGTTGTAGCTAGGGAAGGAAAGAAGAGTAAGAAAACTCCCCATGCTACTTTGCTATGTCATCAACTACACAATGATCCTGGTTGTCAGATAAAACGTGATTTAATGTTTACATACTCTAGAGATACTCCGGTTTGTTCAGAGCACTCTGAAAGCTAAATATTCTCTCATTTCACTCACAGTGAGGACCCAAAGAAAACACAGCACCAAGAACTGACGTAATGAAGAAGAACCTATTCTGTGAATACTGAAATTATATGTTTCCTACTTTGCTCCCATTCTGGCTTGGATCAGTATGAAATTCAAGAATTGAAGTCTTCATCTTCCTAAGAAAGTTTATTCCCCAAGCCATATAAATGTATGAATTCTAAACATCTGCCATGCTCCCCCTTTTGTCTGAAGAGTTAAGTTATTACCTCTTTCTATTTAACAATTGAATAAAAAGCTTCATAAAAAAAAAAAAAGTTTCCATTTCTGTTTTCCAGTAGTGGATCCATCCACACTATCTATGTGGTCCTACTTCTTAGCCCCCTTCCCTCAGCCACAGGGGTATCTCTTAACTATACCACTGACATCATTGTAGGTTCACTCAGTTGGCTGAAGAGACCAGCTCCAAACTTTACAAATTCATTTTATGATCTTCACAGTCTTGAGCGTGAAAAGATCTTAGATACAGCCTCTTTTCCCAGCCTAACATTCAAGCTTCCAATAATGACAACTCCCTTAACAATCCTGCTATATCCTTATAAATTACCAGAAAGAGGGACAAGACAAAAGCGTTCCCAGTAAAGGACTGGTCCTTCCTATTGCACTTGGACAGTTCTGGTGGGAAGCCCCAGCTAAGGATGCTTGCTTATCCACAAGCCATTTTTAATCCCCAGATACGGTTAAGCCTGTCACAGGACGAGAGGCAGACTCGAAAATGCTGCCAGAGTTCATGCACACCTTCAGTTCTTCAGGGAAGAGATTTTTGTCTGCAAGAAGCTCAAATCTCCCCTTCTGATCTCAGAGCTCCAAGAGTGGCGGAACTCCTGCAGAGTTGGTTTCACAGCCTTAGCCTGCAATCGTGCTTTTAAAGTGACATCCTCTTGACCAAGACTAGCCTGTAACAGATCTGAGAAGAAAATAGGCTCCTGTAGCAGAGACAGCTAGTTAAACATATGACTAACCTGGGTTATTTAATACTTGTATGTTTAGGTCTGAAAACAGCAAATACTTTTCCTGCTCTTACTCTGTAACACTAGGAATCTTGGAATTTTTCTCATAGAAATCCATTCCTAGAAAAGAACAGTGGGAAATGAATTTGAATCTCGGAGTAAAATTTATGCAGCAAATGCTAAATTATTAATGTCTTTTCTTTTGTTAAAGGAGGCACCAAAAAAGACTTAATTTGCAAGACTTTGCTCAAACAGCTGTCTGTATTTTCACTATTTGATGAAGAATCGGTCACTTCTTGATGTTAGAGAAACTATAATTCCATTGAAGATTGCTTCTTTATCCCCAGTGGCTGTGGACAAACAGTAATTCTGAGGCTGCTTTAGCACAGACATTTCTTCACATCTTCAGACACTGCAAGACGGGTTCAGCTTCCGATACGTTGCTCTAGTTACTCTCAGCAGTCCAATGTTGCTATCAACACATCATAAAAAAGAGTAGTCCTTCTGAAATATTGTTAAAAATGCAGTTCTAGAGAAAAATATTTGACGGCTGTGATTCCTGAGCCCCTATATAACAAAGCGGAGGAAATAATACTGTGCAAAGCCAGAATCTACTGGCAGATTGGTGAGCATCAACATCCTAGCCCCTTTTTTTTGGAGAAGAGTTTCAGCTGGGATTAAGGTGTACCACAGGGTGATGAAAAGGCAGTTTCAGGCGATTTAGATTCTTACGCTTGAAGGAGGAATAGTGATTTCAGTAGATGAGCTTTGTGGAAAAGAGCCCTGAAGTACCTCTGGCAATGCCTGAGAATTTAATAAAGCTGTGATCATCTGTGTATTGTTAAAATAATTAAGAGGATTTCTTTTTAAGGGAAATTAAAGTAACCTGTCTTAAGAAAAAAACAAACCCAGTGGATATTAAGACCCTTAATTAGGATTTCTGTCTGGAAACACTTCCTATCCTAAGGAGTTTCACATCCCCTTGCTGCGACCATAATTGCCCCCCACCCCTAATCTCAACCTGAGGGTAGAAGCCACCCTGTTCAGAGGAATCTTATCTCCACCTCTCGCCTTATAGCCCAAGTGGAACCTTTCTCTCACGTAGGTGGGGGTTTCTCTCCAGGTCTAGGGATGTGCATGAGGCTACAGCCAGGGCAGCGGGACTCCCAGTGTCTATTCCTGGGATGCTGCCCCAGAGGGTGAAGCTGGGACTTCTGGTGCTGGGTCAGATCCCCTTTGGGCACATGGAAACCTTCACATATACAAAGCCCCCCAGGGATGTGGCAGAACGTCTCATTTCAGAGACCAGCTGTTCCCCCAAAACTATGTCCATAGCAATCCGGCCGGGCCAGTCCTTGTGGAGAGATTCTTGACAGAAATACGAAGATCGGCAGGGAGGCTGCACGGGTG